TGTTATTCAGATCTTCTGTATCATTACTGATTTGTGCACATGCTTTATCAAATATTGTGAACAGTGTATTAAAATCACCCATTATCATGGTGAATTATCAGTTTCCTCTTGCAGTTCTTCTGTTATTTTTTATAGTACACAGTTCAACTTTATGCTATTGGATGTAACCAAGTTTAGAATTGTATCGCCCTTCTGAACTGATTACTGTCTTCTTTGGTAAATTTTAAGTTTATTTTGTCTGATTACAATATAGCTACACTACACCAACTCTCTTTTGGTTCAAATTTGTTTGACATATCTTTTTTCCATCGTTTTGCTTCAACCATTCTATATTATTATGTTATAGGGGTGTCTCTTAAACAGAAGATAGCTGGATTTTGTTTATTTGTTGTATTACAATCTTTGTCCTCTAACTGGAGAATTGGATCCAATTATATTTATTGTGATTAATATATTTGGATTTATTTCTACCATCTTATTTCTAATATTTCATTTTTTCTCTTTCCTTATCTTCATTTAGATTGCTTTTTATTTAATTCTAGTTTTTTTCCTTATGCGAAATTTGACCTTATACACTCTATTCCTATTTTTTTGGTGGTTACACTAGTAATTTTTACATGTATAATTAATTTAATAAAGTCTAAAATTAATCAGTATCATTATCCTCCTTTGCAACAACATAAGTAAGCACTTTAGAGTGCTTTAACTTAATTAACACTTTCCCAAGTTACAATCACCATTGTCCAGTATTTTAGTTGACCTTTTCTCCCCCATACATTTTTTTAGTCAATGTTTTCTTAGATTTACCTATATTGTTACTGTTTGCTTACCATTCCTTTTTGCATATCTGATCTTCTATCTAGTCTTATTTTGTTTCACAAATTCATTCTCAACAAGTTCCTTTAGTGAGAGACAGGTGGCGATAATTCTCTCAATTTTTGTTTGGCACAGTCTAGATGGGACGACTTTACTATAATTTTTAACTTGGGAATTTTCAGGTCGCACAATTAATATAAATCTCAGCCCTACATCCATCTGAAGTCTGATCTGATCACGAATTTTCACCAGAAGCTTTTTGGTATAAATTTACCTGCCTGAAGTAGAGGTTAAAAAAGCAAATATATTTATGTTTGGGGACTGGGAAAGAGTGGAAATGGGATTTGAGTTTTTTCTTTTTTCTAGTTCACCTCTTCACTGCAGATGTTTCTTTTCAGTAGTCTCTGCTTTATGTAGGAATCTCTGACCTGATTTTCACCTTGTTCTGCACTAGGTTTTGTAAGAAGTCACAAGCTGTGTTAAAATTGAAGCTCTAGGTCACCTAGGTTTGACAGGGCCTCCTAAGATAGGTAAATGTCCCTAGGGCAGCACCATCTTCATCACTCAAATACCCTTCTGGATTCCTAGCTCTCCATTTTTTGGCTTCTCATGTTTTCCTTCCCTTTCTTGCTGGCTCAATGGTGCATTTAAAGGGGCTTTAAAAAAATACTTTATCAAGCATTTGTAAGTGTTGCATACAAGTACAGCTTTTAAGGATCTATTCTGCATCTTTCTAGAACCAATGCATTCCACTCTTAATAACTTATGCATGGCAGCCAGGAGGACTACTGTTGTTACCAAAAGGGGGACCCCTTCCAGGGCCCGAGAGTGGGCTCTTGTCTAACACTTGGAAATGAATTGTCTGAGGAGAAATACGTGCTGACAAAGCAAAAGACTTTATTGGGAAAGGGCACCCAGGTGGAGAGTAGCAGGGTAAGGGAACCCAGGAGAACTGCTCTGCCACGTGGCTTGCAGTCTCACGTTTTATGGTAACGGGGTTACTTTCCGGGTTGTCTCTGGCCAATCATCTTCTCCGTGCCCATATTTAGCCTGATTCAAGGCCCTCCCTGACAGTGCGCAAGAATTTCTCAGACAGGATGGTTTCCAGCACAAGGATTTCTGGGAGGTTGGTGGGACATATTATGGGCTGACATCTCCTCCCTCCTTTTGGCCTCTCCCGAATTCTCCAAGTTAGTTTTCAGCGGCAGCACTGTGTTCCTTATCGTGACCTCCTGTTGTAAAACAACTTACGCAAGTGGTTATTACCATGACTGGCCAAGGCGGGCAGTTTCAGTCAGCAGTTCCCTAACATTTTCTCCTCCATCCCTGTAACTCACCAAACTGCATGCCTTTGGACAACCTCCGCAAACCTCAGTCTTCTGAGTTTCCTTATCTGGTGCCTCCTTATTAGATCCGTTAAAAGAGAAATTTTTTCAGTTTACCTAACCTCCTTCAGGGAAGAGATTTAGCATTTTCGATAAAACCCTTAAATTTCTGGGGACCTTTAATAAAATTAAGACTTCTTGTAGGAAACACACACTTGCTAACAGGTAAAAGTCTCAGTCTAAAAATAACTTTACACTTCGATTTTCGTTAACTGTATACTCTATCCCCATTCTTTTCCCCTATGAAATACCCTTATCAAGAGTGAATCTTTGAATTGGATTCCTGCAGGGCTTTTTTTTAATTTTACAATAAGATAGACCTAAATATATGATATATGATCATAACTGAATAGTCTGAAAAGTTTTTATTAGCTAATCTTTCATTTATAAGAAAATTTAAATGAATTTGTTTTCATCTTTCAGCTCTAAGTTTAGAGGCACTATAAACAAATCAGACTATCTTAGTTTCTACTGGAAATAAGATATTCCTGAACTGCAAAGATAAATATTACCTTCCAAAGGAACTTTTTCTGTTTTAAAATTTTGTGCAAATTTGAAAACAGAACCTAGCTTGAAAAGTTTAAACAGAAATGTTAAGACCAAGCCTATAAGTTTTACTTGCATTTCCTGTTGATACGCAAATTTGGTGATTCTGGCCAAGGCATTCCCCCTCTACCACAAACTTTCATCATTATGTTAATCAGAAGAAATGTATTAAATTTTTAATGAACATGGCTCCTTATGAAGAAACTAACGACTGGCTACATGAAAAAAAGAAAAGACTTTTCTAGCTCATTTTAATTTATTGTTAATTATGTAAGTTTGAAATAACATTTTGGTGATTTAGCTGAAAAGTAATAAAAATTAAGTACTGGAGTGTTAGAAAAGCTAGATTTCTCACAGATTGAATTTGAGTAAATCACCTTTCTATGCTTCAGTATTTTCTATAAAGTGAGGATAACAGTAACTCAGCATTTGAGTCAAAATGAACTGGATTCAAATTCCTGGCAGTTTTAACTTAGAAGAGCTCTTTATGCTTCTTTGTGGGGTGGTTACATCCATACTGTAAGGATTAAGTAGTGTCTGCACCATGCACCAAGAAAGAGTAAAGAATAAAGATATGAGGAGAGTACTTTTGCTGCCGGTGAATTTAAGGTCCTTTCCTCCTCGCGAAAGAATTCAGAGACAAAGTGATAGGTAAAAAGTGGATTTATTTAGAGACACCACAGACAGAACGTGGGCCATCTCAGAAGGCGAGAAGCCTTGGGGGAAACACACTCCACAGACAGAGTGTGGGCCATCTAGGAAGGCAAGAAGCAAGAGGCCTTGAAATATGGGGTGGTTAGTTTTTAATGGGCTGGATAATTTCATAGGCTAATGAGAGGATTATTCCAACTATTTTGGGGAAGGGGCGGGGATTTCCAGGAATTGGGCTATGGTTGACCTCAAAACTGTCATGGCACTGGTGGGTGTGTCATTTAGCTTATGCTAACGTATTACAATGAACATATGATGAGGCTCAAGGTCTACTGAAAGTCAAATCTTCTGCCATCTTGGATCCAGTTGGTTCTCACTAGTTGTCATGTACTGTGGCTATGTCATTCTTTTAAAGGTTGTGCCCTACCCCCTTCCCTCCTGTTTCATTTTTGATTTTGCTATATTAATCTAATTATTTAATGATTGTTTTAACTTTTTCTTAATGTCTCTCCACTGTATTCCCTTTACCCTTTCATTAGCAAGTACCACTTTTTCTCCTTGCTTTTCAACTTTCTCTACTATAAAAAGGATGCAAAATTTGTCAGTGCAAAGGGACATCTCTCAAGCACTGCATCATTTTGATGTTAAAAATAGCAACTGCATGTTCAGGAAAACCCACCTGTATTTCCCTATTAATTCCCCAGGGTGTGTGTGTGTGTGTGTGTGTGTGTGTGTGTTTGCAAATATATAAGGAAAAGGGGATCAATGTTAAAGCTACTTATATACTTGGCATTGATTCATTGAACCAAAAATCATGGAAGCAAAAAAAGAAAAAATTAGAAGAGCTTTAGTTCTTCTGAGTTTATAGCTGCTAAAAACAGCTTTTATAAAGGAATCGCCTTTGTGCAAAAAGTATTTTCTTGTTTTTTACGCCCTTGAAAAGGAATCACATATCATACATGAAAATGGTGTGGTGCTTGACTGCATCAAAATGACAAGGGTCCAGCAGACACATTATAGCTAAATTTTAGTAGGTAGAGCAGACACACTTGAGCTTATTTTTCTCTGACTTTCTCACTCCCCATTCCAGCCCCTCGGGTACGCACATTACACGATTCCCTAGAGTCAGAAGATGGGAGTGGAGAGTTTCAGTACAGAATGTAGCTCTGGACATCACCAAGAAAAAGGAAGGGAAGAAAGAGAAGAGAGGGTAAGCAAAAGGGAGGGGGAAAAGGAAAGGAAGGAGAGAAGGAAAAAAGGAGGGAGGGAGCGCAAGAAAAGAATGAAAGAAAAAAAACAGAAAGCAAGGAGAGAAAAAAAATAAAGAAAAACTGAGAAAGGAAGAAGCTTCGCTGAAGGGAGGAAAAGGAGCGAGGAAGTGGAGAAGGAAGAGTGTGAGAAATGTTTTTGTCTCAGGTCCATTAGAGAGAGAAATAGAACCCTTATCAGCACTACAGAATCTCGAAGAGGCAGTGTATTTTCTTGAAAGCCCCGAAGCTAAGCAATTCCAAGAATGTTTGGCAAAGCCCTTTGGGGAAGGGTGAGGGGGGGGGCGGGCGTGGGGGTGGGGGCTTTCTCACACCCCCACCCCTGGCCCCCTCACAGGATGTGACAGGATTTGGGAGACCTAGAGGAAACCTTCAGGTCACCCAGGGAACTGCTCCTCTCGCTGGTCCTGCAGTGGCGAGGCGGGGTGGGGGTGGGGGGGTGAGAGCGCCGAGACGCGCGGGGCGCGGAGATGTGCAAGTGGCGAAGCTGGACCCAGCGCAGGCGGGAGAAGCCGCCCGACTCCCGGCGCGGGATCTGCTGAGAGACCAAGGTGAGTCTCTCCGGGTGCGGGTCCGAGAGATGTCCGGGTTCCCCGTCGCCCCCGGGCCCGGGCCGAGGCGGGCCCGGAACCTCCCTGGAGTCCGGCCTGGGCTCGGCGCCGCCGCCCGCCGCCAGGAGCCCGCGCTGCTCGGGACGCGCCTGGGCGGACGCACCGACCGACCAGCGCTCTGCGGCGCTCCCCGCCGCCCGCAGACCCAGTGCGCTCATTGGTCGGGATGTGTCTGCTCAGCAGCCTCCAACTTCTCCCGAATCCCATGGGTGAGTCCCGAGAAAGCGAGCTGGCACCTGGGAGCTGGGGGGAGATGGGTCCAAAGGGCGCGAGATTTCCCTCGGGGGCGGTGGGAGCCGTTGGGACGGGAGCCGGAGGGGAGCGGCGGCCGCGCGGAGCGGCTGCGTGGAAGGCGCACGGAGCAGGGTCCGTGGCTCAGGTCCGGCGAGATCAGAGCGCCCGGGACCCCGCGGCTGTGGGCGAGGGAGGCGTGCCCTGGGAAGAAGCTGCAACTGAGACTTGAAGAGTGAGGGACTGGGGTTAGAGAGGGTGACCTGGACGAGGGCTCTGCAAGTGATGTCAGGTCGACTCTTCAGGTTCATTTCCATAGCTTCCTGCAGCCTCTGCCTGGGAGAGTTACGTCCGGTTACTGAGATCAGCGCTACGAAATTGCAGGCTGGCTGATTTGGGGGCTGGGAATTTGCCATTCCGCTGTAAAGACACTGTTTGTTTTTGTTTTTTGTTTGTATTTTAAAGTAAGGTTTGTTTTCATTTTGGTTTCTGTCAGATTTTCTTCTCATTTGTAACTCACTTGCCTATTTTTACTTTCCCTACCCTGAAGATCTTTTCATTATCCTGCTTCTTCATCTTGCTTTAAACCTTAGTTTCCTCTTACATAATTTATGCTGATAGAGTGCTTAAATCTCGAGGGTTGGTTGGTGGGAGTGGTGGTGGGAGTTCTTTTGCAGATGAAAGTTTCCTTAATCTGTCTTAACCTATTTGTAGTATTTGAACAAAAGAGTAATTGCAACTGAAGTGTTCTCTTTATTTATTTATTTTCCAATAAATTTATTAATTTTTGTCTGAGTTGGGTCTTCTTTGCTGCGCGCAGGCTTTCTCTTGTTGTGGAGCACAGGCTCGCGGGCTCAGTAGTTGTGGCTTGCGGGCTCTAGAGCGCAGGCTCAGTAGTTGTACAGGACTGGCTTAGTTGCTTCGCGGCATGTGGAATCTTCCCAGACCAGGGCTTGAAACCCTGTCCCCTGCATTGGCAGGTGGATTTTTAACCACTGCACCACCAGGGAAGTCCCAAATTGTTCTCTTTAGCCTCTTGGTCAAGTTTACTCCTCCTCCATATACGATGCAAATGGTAATTTTATTAAACTGAAAAGAAGTACCTCGATATGCAGTGTCAGCATTTGGAAGCTACTAGTCTGCACACCGACTATGAAGGCATCTAGCTGGCATTATTGCTGGGTTCCAGCACTTAATCTTGGACTCCATGCTGTGTCTTTTGTTGTATATAGCAACACTGCACATGGGAGTAATATGTTTGGGGCTTTGCGTTCAGAACTCCGTATATCAGATCCAGGAAACACCTACAAGTTTCCCTTGTCCGGGGAAACAAGGAGGTGATTCCTCTACCATATGTGCCTCCTCAAATCTGCAGCTATCGTCTAAATATGGAACCTGTTTCTCTCTGAATTTTTTGAATTGAAGTACAGTTGATTTACAATATTGTGTTAGTTTAAGGTGTATAGCATACTGATTCAGTATTTTTGTAGATTATACTCCATTATAGGTGGAACCTGTTTCTCTTGCTTCCTGTGCTTCAGTTTCCGTAATACAAACTGTAATTGCATAGTGTAACCTCAGAGACTTGCAGAAATGTTAATGTACTAATGTGTTGTGAAGATGAACATTGCTTTGGTTTATACTTTTCAACAAGCCAGTTATCCTCTGGGTTCTTTGATTTGATGATGTGATAAAGTAATGTGTACACTCAACTGGTATAAAAATTGCTGCTGTATATTGCTTTGAAACTCAGTTTCTATTTAGGCAAAATAATCTTTTATTCTTTTGGAGATGTTGTCAAGCTGAAGTTTGCAGTATTCTCGTTAGGGTAGATGTCCTAATCCTCTATCCTCTCTTGCGGAAGTGTCTACTTTTTGGCTTGAACTTTCCAACATATCTCCAATTGAGGTGGAATACTTTAAGGATGTAGGTATGTTTGGGGATATCCTGCTTTATATGGGACTACAAGTATCGACTTTATAATTTTTGTATTCTTTTGTATAATTGCCTCCTTTTCCCCCTCTCTAAAATGGGGTTGGGTGTGGTTGCATTGGACATCCAGGTATCTGAGGGATGGTGATATGTTTTTTCCTGAGGTTCAAGATTCTGACCCCTATTTTCTTAAAAGAAAATAGTGAATCAATTGGAATTACTGGAAATGAATGACAAAGTTAATTAGGAAGTTAAACTTGCCTCATTTCTGCTTTGGTCAGTGCTGTTGAAAAGTGCTTCTTAGGAGCAAAAGACTGAAAATTTGCAGGACGTTTATAGGAGGGGCAGATGGAGAGTTTGCAAGTGATTCAAAGATGATATTATTTTGATTCAGGTATAAGGACTAAACAGCTTCAGTCACTGCCTTTATTTTCCCCTGTAACAATTTCTGCTAAGGTGCGGAACCATTAAGAGCCCAGCTGCCTCAGTACCCCAGTCTCAAGGGTAAGAAGTAGACACCCGGGAAAAGTAACCCAGAAGGGAGAAAGACATAACTGCCTACTAGTTTTCCTGCATGATGAAAACCTGGTGGCGCAAATGAGCAGCTTCAATTTAACCCATGGCTGCCCTGGTTCCTGGCCCTAGATTTTACTAGAGAAACTAATTGTTTTTTCTAAGAAAGAACTAAAAAGAGAAGTGGGTCATATTATAATATATCAGGAGAACGTTTCTCTAGATTGTTTTCTGAAATATTATCAGAGCAGGGGGAGAAATACTCAGGAAATGGAAATACTCAAGCAAATGTGATTAATATTCAGATGCTCTTGAAGTCAGTCTTGAATTCATCTGGGAGAAGCGGGAAAATTATTCTTTATTGTTTACCTCTCTGTATGGTGTCCAAGCGTTAAGTATGTTTCCATCTTTTCTTTCCCCACCCACCTCCCCTATTAAAAATCCAAGGGCTACTATCAATGCAATTCCATATCATAACCCAAGAAAGAGGCTGTGAGACTAAGCCAACATGAGTCATATAACCATTAAGACATTTTAACATTCAGGTACACTACATTCCACTTTTATTGAGCAGACATGGTTTTCATGGTCTAATAAAATATTTTTATTTGATAGTCTGTCCTTGGTTATAGCCTCATGTAATCCCAGGGACAGCATGCTTAAGACTTTGTATCCAGAACTTTAAAGTCCAACTGTGACTCACTTATTAATAACTCACTGGGGAAATTAAATTCCTAGTTATCTGCTGATAACTGATGGCCTGATCACCCAGGCCATACTTCAAACGTAGAATCCGTTTCTACTTTATCCTGTGCCTCAGTTTCCGCAAAACACACTCTCAGAAAATTATGTGTATTCAACAAAGATTTCTAACTATGAGAGCATCTCTGAGCAGTCACTTCATCTAGGAACTAAATTATATGCTTAATTTGCATCAGGCTATACACAGCTAATCTGTTAGTTTACAATGCTCTTTTCTACAGTCAGGCAGAAAAATTGAACTTGTGTGTTCTAAGCTTTGGTGAATAGCTGATAAAGAGTCACTAGGCCTCTAAAAGAAATATAATGAAATCTAATATTTAGGCTAATATCCCCTTAATTTTACCCCCTAGACTTCTGCAATAAGGTTTAAAGTAGCTATCATTGTATGATGATGCAATTTTCTTTCAAAATGTGTTCTTTGTAATTGTATTCTTTGAAATGTGTTCATTGTAAATGTGTTCTTACTTGTGTAGCTTTGGGCAAGTTACCTGGCTTTTCTGTGCCCCACTATCCTAAGGTATAGAACTGGAATATTCAAATCCGCCTTACAAAGATTCAGTGAAGTAGTACATGCAAAGCACCAAGAACTGTGAGTGGCACATGGGAAGTACTCAATAAATATCAGCTATAATTAGCAGAAGTATTAATATTATTAATTTAAGAACAAGTTAAGTATCTTAATTGTTATCCTGACCTGCAAGGTTGAATTTTTTTAATCATATTTTCTTCTTCTTCAGTTGCACAAAGAAACAGTACTTACGGTTAGTATCTTTCATCCCAGATTGTAAACCATGACTTTTGGTCCAGTGAGTGACCATTTTCAAAATGTTGTCTAAACAGTTAATAGATACCCATATTAGCAGTTGTTGTAATTTTGAACTGTAAAATTAAAGATGTTTTTAAGATGAAAAAAAATACTACAAGTGTTTGTTCCTTTTTGTTTTTATCTGTATTCATATTTAAAATTATTGCTTAGTCAAAACCTCGAAGTATTAGTCATTGATTTCTAAGCTTATAAAGGAAGCCAGTGGAGCAAGCTATAAAATTCACCTTTGATGTTGTACAAAGTTCAGAAGGGTGAGTTTAAAACTTTCCTTAATGATGGTACAGAAGTTATTTGCTTATGAACTGCTGAAGGAATCGTCCGTGAGTATTTAACTGAGTCTCCTTGTCTGATTTTGCTTGGATCTTCAGTGATATGTCAAAAAAATCCAAAAGATTGTGACCAGGATCTGTCTAACTTATGTGACTATAGACTCTTTGCTTTCAGAATCAAAATTTTGACTTTCAGCAAAAAACTTTTATTTCTAATTTAAAATGAGTTAAGCTTTTACTTTATTCAGCCACATTAAGCATTTAGAAAATTGTATATAGATCTCTTCTTTTTATCTATTGATTAATTTATTATGATTAATTTGAAAAAAACTTTTTAATGTGGTTTTTTTTTTTTTTCCAGACTTTAGGTAATGGGCAGATCAGAAAGTCAGATGGATATAACTGATATCAGCACTCCAAAGCCAAAGAAGAAACAGCGATGGACCCCACTGGAGATCAGTCTCTCCGTCCTTGTCCTGCTGCTTGCCGTCATTGCAGTGACAATGATAGCTCTCTATGCAACCTATGATGGTGAGTTACTCACACACCTGTGCCCACAAACATGCAGAAGACAGTGAAACCTTCATCTTAGGTTTTTCCCATCTATTAAACAATGTGTTAAGGAAAGAGACACTTAAAGATGGTGATATAAAGATTCATTTATAAAATGTAACATCAGTATGCCAAAACACCTAACTTTGACTAAAGTACAATGTGTTTTATGCTTGAGGTAAGTTATTAATTGCCAAGTATGTTTCGTGCACTCGTATGTATTTTAATGAAGATTCTAATGTATAATTTTACTTGATGAAAGTATTCACAATTTTATAGCCAACTTCAATTAGTCAACTTCTGTTGTGTCATTGAAATTTGAAACGGCTTTACAAGAATTTAAGAGGTCTAATTTGAGCCTTAGAAGTTTTTCACAATAAGGATTAGAAAAGGTTGGTTCATTAATGGAAAAAAAAATGATTACCAGACTAAAACAACTGATGTTTCAACTTAATAGACCTAGGGCTTAGTGGTCAGGGATGATATAAGAAATACATTTTTTTCCTTCATTTAAAAAATTTTAAATTTAGGATTTGCTTATTTTATTCCTCTATATTTTCTTCTAACTACTGTCAATGATATATAATACTTAGGTTTTAGTTCTTGCTTTAAGGAATTGATTATTTAATTGGCCGTTTATAAAAGAACAAAAGGTAGGGAGAAAGAATATGTGTATTGCAAATATTTATGCATATATCCTCCTTTTTCTAGATGGTATTTGCAAGTCATCAGACTGCATAAAATCAGGTAAGAAGATAGTTTTTAAATTTAATAGTTTTACAATTGATGTATAACATTTAAAAATCAAATGCTAATAGATCTCTATATTTGCTTTGTGTATATTTTTATTTGTTATAGGTCATTAATTAATAGTCAAAGAACATCAAAATATACTTAAGTAATAGATTTGTTAATTTATTCATTCCAAAAAAGAATTCACTCTTTTCAACCCCAGAGTATATGGTAGGGTAGAGATGGAGAACTATATCTGTAGCTTTATGGAGCTTGCCATGTAATTGGAGAAAAAAAATCAGCACTTGAAATGGCACGCATCATACCATTAAGTGCTAAATTTCTCAATGCAGATCATTAGAGGGGTAAGAATGAAAAAGGGAGTGACATATAGTTCTGTAAAGCAAGGTGGAAAAGTTAATTTGGGAGGGGTCTTGAAGCAGGGCTAGGATTTGGAAGTGGAGGTACAGAAGAGGGAATTCCAAACTAGAAGAAAGAACAGGAGTAAATCGTGTAGAGAAGCAGTGAAAATGTAGGCATGATAGATAGGGACACGTTATGGAGAGTTTGAAAATTCATATTTAGCCTTGATTTTGTAGTAAAAGAGAAAAGGATATTTTCCTGAACAGATCACTTGTTAAGGTAAAAGTTGGAAGATGATTCTGAGAACGCTAGGCTGGGTGGATTGAGTGAAAAGCTAGGGAGGGAGGGCAGGTAGGGTCTGCTTCTGTAATCCAGGTGTGAGCTTAGGAGGGCTGCTTGCAGTGGGATGAAAGAGCTCTGAGACAATGTGAGGAACAATTGGATGGCTTAATAGCACTGACTTGCTAAATGAAGGATATGAATACTTTGAAAATGACACCAACTTTGAAACCTCAAGGGACTCAGGAGACCGTGGCAGCTCATACTGAAATAGCAAAGTTACGAGGTAAGTTTGTTTTAGGGAGGTTGTGATTAATGTGGATTTAGACCTATTGCGTCTAAGTCAGGGGTAACATCCAAGTGGTGATAGACAGCAAGAAAGTAGAGATCAAGTGAATTTAGGATCTGTCAGCCAAGGGGTGATAGCTGAAGCCTTGGGAATATTTGAGTTCCTAGAAGTAGAAGAAGTGTAAGAGCTGAACTTAAGAGGACATCAAGAATTAGAGTAGAAGGAAAAGAAAAGTCAGAGAAGGGAACAGAGAAGTGTATGGAGCTATAGAAGTCACATCAATTAGAATGTGGTGAAAAAAAGAACATTTTGACAAGGAGAAGAAAGGTGGTAGCTGGCATAGCACCTTGGATATGATCACAGTGTTTATGCCCTTTGACAAGAGATTCTAAACTTCCTTTCTGATGTCTACATTTCTTCCAAGAAATAATCTGTCCCAAATGATTTTTAACCATTTTCTGTTGGATTGTCTTATCTGGGTTTTTGTTATTCACTGACCTTTGCAAAATAGTAATGGGAAAATATTGTGGGATTCTAGGTTATAGTCTAATGTCCTTAGTATGTATGTGCTCTTTGTTTTTCTGTATTGCTTTTTGCCTTTTTTCCCCCCCGCACTGCATCTCAAGTACACTGACCACATGTACACTCTGGGACATGATGTGGGTAGCTTGAGGGAGACCTGATTGGGATACCAGCCATTTGCTCCTCAGTGTAATAACATGCACTTTCCCATCCAAGGGCCTTCCCAGAAACAAAAGAAGTTTCTTTATTCCTCAGGGAAATGGCTGCACAGGTGCCTTGGCTGGGAGATGTCCAGGGTCTCTGTGCCAGAGTTGGTATGTGCCCAAGTTGTCAAAGTTACCATTTGCTTCTCCCTAAATCCTATCTCTCCTTTCTCTCTACCAGCTGCCCTATTATATGCTCATGCTATTCTGTTTTGAGTAACTCCCACTTATGTGTTGCCCTCTAATTATCTCTAAGTGTCTCAGTCCTCAGTATACTTGATGCATCTATTAAGTCTCTTAATCTGTAGGTTCTCTCAGATTTTTCTCCCTCTCACTCTTTTTTCTTGGATTTTATTTTTGAAGAAACTAGATCCTTTGACTAGGTAGGCATATCTTTGTAAAATCCTACAGGTGATTGTACCCCAGAGATCTGAGCAGGTTCCTTTAGTGGTACCCACCTAAGGAGCAATATGACATTTGGAATCTGGAATCTTACATGTGACTTAATGTTTAGAGGTATGGCTTTGGCTTTTTTTTATACTGGTTGGCAAGGCTTAACTCATTAAAATGTATTTAAACTGTATCCTTTAATTGTAGTTTAGAAATCATACCAAATGTAAAAAGCACCGCACAGAACTATACCTTGGCAGAGAAATGTATACAATAGAAGTAGCTTCAGTGGTAAACAAGGTTGCTGAATAGCTGTGTGTTTTTCTTCATTCTGCTCTTTTGGTTCACAAGCTGCTAGAATACTTTCATATTCATAGTTACTCTTCCTCCCTGGGGGGAAAATGATGAAACTCACTCTTATGGATAAAGTTTTTACGCCCTACACACACACACACACACACACACAGAGAGAGAGAGAGAGAGTCCTCTACTGGTTAGAAAATATTTTCTGCCACAGAAAACATAACTATTGCTTTTAGAAGTTGCTTCAGATTAAGAAAACTCTAGGGGAAATCTAGGACAGAAAAAAAAGGGAGAGAGTGAAAGAGTGGAGTGGATGGAAAGAAAAGAAAGACAGAATAAAAGATGTTGAAAAAAATATAAAGTCTCCTACCAGCAATTCTATAGATTACTTTAAAAGATTGGGAGAATTCAAACCTGAGCACAGAAATTGTTGAGAATTAGAAAAGTTAGGTATTGATACCCAAGGCGCTTATTTCAAGTGAAAGTTGGTTTTAGCTGAAATCTTTCTCCTCCTGGAAGGGAAAGTCATGGCAAATGCACTTCTCTCTTTGATCCTTTGAAGTCAAGGCATGGAGGTCAAGCCACACCAAGGCAAAAATAAAATACTGCAGAAAGCTTTGGATCATCTTGACATTTGTTTGGTGTTGGGTCCTTTAAATCTGAGCCTCTATAAATTTAAATATTTGTAATATACATAAAATGCTGTTTACAAGACGTACTTTAAATTAACTTGCCTGTATAAGAAATGCATCCCTCTGAAAGATTACACCAGACCTAAAATGAAACAAACACTTCTTAACAAATTACAAGTTAAGGCAGTGTTCAAAACCCTACTATTAAAGTATGAGTAATACTATTCATCTCTTATTTACTATATAAGATTGTTAAAAACATGGAATTATAGAGCTTGGATGTGATTTCTCAAACGTCTCTGTGTAAATCTAAATCCTGAAACTGGCTTCCATTGCATTGCAACCTTACTAAGATTTCAAGGAATCATATACTTTAAATCAGGATTTCTCAGCTTCATCACTGTTAACATTTTGGGCTGGATAATTCTTTGTTATGGAGAAGGGGGCTGTTCTGTGCATGGTAGGGTGTTTTACAGCACCCTTGGCCTCTACCCACTAGGTGACTATCAGCACCTTCTCCCAGCTGTGATAACCAAAAAGTATCTCCAGACATTGCCACATGTCTCCTTGGGGCAGCAGTATCATCTCCACTTGGGTACCACTGGCTTAAATAATCTCAAGAGATCATCTAATGCTTTTCCCTTTGTGGTAGACAGAATAATGCCTCCCTAAACATGTCCACTTCCTATCCCTGGATCTTATGAATATGTTACCTTATAAGGCCAAAGGTACTTTGCAAAGGTGATTATTAAGTTAAGGATATTGGGGAAATTATCCTGAATTATCGGGATGGTCTTATGTGATCACAAGGTTCTTATAAGGGGAAGGGAACAGGAGGGTCAGAATCAGAGAGAAAAATGTAACAACAGAAGCAGAGGAAGCCAAGTTTGGAGTAATATAGCCATGAGCCAGGGAATGTGTGCAGTCTCTAGAAGCTGGAAAGGGAAAGGGATGGTTCTTCCCTAGAGCATCCAGAAGGAATGCAGCCCTGTTGACCCCTAGAGCCATAAGATAATAAATTTGTGTTGTTCTAAGTCACTGCATTTGTGGCAATGTGTTGTAGCAGCAATAGGGAACTAATAATACACCCTTCCATAGTTCTTTTATTTGGGGGCTGTCTTTGAAGAGTTAAAACACACACACAGTGTTTCTTGCTAAACTAGTGTTTTATTACTAAATTGAGGTATGTAATATAATAAAGTAAAAATAGAAGATAAAATAGAATAATAATAGCTAACACTTACTGAATGTTTATGTGTCTGACACTATTGTAAGCAGTTTACATTGGATCCTCATAATGACCTTGTGAGGTAGGTACCATTATACATTCCTTTTACAGATGAACAAACTTGAGCTAGGATTGCACTCCAGGCAGCCTGACTCCAGAACCTGTATTCATGACCACTTTTCCCTGTTGCCTCAAAGGAGACCAGGAGTCTATCAAACTTTTAATACTCTATGCCTGTACGTACAGTATTTGAGAACAGATTGCCTCCGCTCATGCTAGAACTTGGAACTAAAGGACATAAGATGACTCTCAGAGAGTTGAAATAATTAAATACAGACTAAGAAGGAGGAGAATGAATATTTCTTTGACCAAGAAACAAGCTACTTTACTGAGAACAGCGGATCAGCTTCATCAGTGATTTTAGTACATCAAACACAACATGGAATTAAGGGGTTTAAAGAAGCAAACATTAGCAGTGTAGTCCTAAACTCTTCAGGGGATAGAGAAACCAAGTTAAGATACACGAGCCATACAGTTCTCAAGAGAGAGCAAGACCATCTGTACAGTTGTGCAGGTTGTACACTGCACAATTGTGGCAGCCCTGAGGGACAGGTTTGTGGAGCATCAGGACCTGGATGAAACCCCTCATAACTATCCATTTCCTTTACTTTAATTCTTTACTCATCAAGCAAACTTTGGATGAGTATTTAAATATTAATACAGGGAAAGGAGGCATTCTGTTCACTTGAAAGATATGTTAAGCTTGGTGAGATTATGTATTCATATTCTGATTTATAATCACTTTT